GGGGGGGCTCCACCTGGTTGGCGAGGAAAGGAGTGGTAAGGAAGAGTCAGAAGACTACCATCCTCTGTTCTGGGGGTTCATGTATCTCCATCCCCTTTGAGACCTAGGTCTGAGCCCTCACCTTGAGCGAGAACCCGCTGGCGAAGAATCCGTCAGGACACATCTCGGGCCAGGCCCAGTCACCCCAGGGACCCCCGTTGGTCACCTCGATGACTAACGTGTAGCCGCTCGACCCATCTGCTTGTGCATGTCCTAAGCACATCGCCCACAGCAGCAGCAGGTTGGCGCCCACTCCCTGCTCCATCCTGCAGCCTTTGTGAGCCCGGGATTCTTACTTAATAAGATTTATATAACTGCCCCTAGGAGGGCTCCGATTGCGGAAGGACCAGCTGGATTAAGTGACACCAAAAACTAATCCTCTCCCAGAACCCTGCGGACCAGATTTTCTAGTCTAGAAGACAGAGGCTCCTAGTGTCAAAGGAGGAGGGGCTGCGGGATCAGACAAATTGAAATCACCACCACCTACTGAACGTTTACTGTAGGCCAAGAATTGTGGTTAGCGGTTTTTTGCAGGCGTGTTTTAATTAATCCTCACAGCTTTAGAGCTGGGAATTACCCTTCCAATTCTGAAGATGAGGTAACTGGGGTTTAGAAATGGCAAGCAGTTAAGGTCACAGTCAGCAAGCCAAGAAATATTGCAACATTGGGAAATGGGGAGTCCAAGGCTAGAGATGGAAGTGATGGCTCCAGAATCCCACTGGACAGGATTGGTCAGATGTAAACTCAGGAGTGACCTCCATGATGTGGGAGGGGATCAGAGTGAGAGATAAGGCTAGAATTCATGAACTGTGGGAGCTAGGAAAGGTCTTCTTAGTGATTGGAGCCCTGACTCCTTGAGAATATGGTATACTCCTCCTCACCACCAAAGAAAATATACACAGAGATAGGAAAATTCTATTGTTTATGGACATGGGACTAAGAACAGGAGATGCTGTTTCTTTCATTGCATCCTATATCCTTTCCCTGAATGCTCTCCCCCCATGACCACTAGGTGGACTCCTAATTTGCAAAACCTGGCTCAAATTTGTCATGGGAGCACCACCTCTGATTTGCCTGTCCCTCATACACATTCCTTTGTTTATTCAATATGTACTTATTTAGCAATAATGTATTTTGGCCCAGCACTATTCTAAGTGCTGTAAATAGAACAGTAACTAAGGAAAACAAGGACCCTGTCTTCATCAGAGCTAACATTCCAGTGGGGGCAAAAGATGACAAATTATCCAATGGACCTTGAGCTCTATGAAGACACTTTTGTCTTCTTGAGACCTAACACAGAGCCTGGCATGTGGAAATAGTTAATAAAGGTTGGTTTGATGAATAATTGAGGAATCAACTTGGAGTTTAAAAAATTAAACCACAAAAATGTAAAAGGATAAAATCTAAAGTATATAACCAGGAGGCCATGCATCCAGACCAAGACAAGGTTCCCTGGAGATAGTCTAGAGAATTTAGAAGTGGGTGTTCCAGGGTCCCCGGTACTCCACGTTTGAACTTAATAGGTTAAGATTTATGGAGCAATTGTGGTAAGCTTTTCTATTTACAGTGTTTGCAAATACATTATCATTTAATCCTTGCAAAGTACCTATTCTCAATTTACAGTAGAGGGAACTCAAGCTCAGAGTAAACTTACGGCCCACACTGTTGCTCAGTGGGGTAGCTGGTTCTGACACCAGCCTCTCTTCCCAATACCCAGGCTGCCTTTTACTACAACTTGGCCTTACAAGGATGGTAATGCAGAGATGTATCATTGCTATGGAACCTCCCAAATCCTCTTGATCCGGTTTCTCATACCTAGGATGCTGCCCTTGGGGGCAAAGGGCACAGGGGAAGGGGATTTAGGTTAATTATTAACCCTTGCACCTCAGGGCACTGCGGGCTTCTCTCCCCTCCTGGAGGCGGAGGGACAAGGACTGGCTAGAGACTGTTGAGGGGTCGGTGATCCCAGCAGCAGCCATGGGTGTCGCGCTGCCTCCACGGGTCCCGCGGCGCTGGTTCCGCCATGCAATTCCTCTCGCCGTCTTCCTGCTGTTGCTTTATTATTTCTGTGCTTGGAGCCTACGTGAGTGGCCTCATCTGCTCTGGGAGGAACCCAAGAATCCAGATCCTTGGGACCTAAGCCCCCTCTTGAAGCCCTCCACAGGCGCCCGCTCAGGCTGCCAATCTGGAGCACAGTCCTGCATTTCCGAGGGACCGCCACCTCTACAGGTATGCTTGGTTCAGGGCTGGGACCAGGAGCTCCAGGTGGGACCCTGAACAGAGGGAAGTGGAGTCAGGCTGAGGCTCTGGTGAAGGGTAGGTCCTCCTTCCTGTATGCCCCCTCCCACCAGAAGCTGACAGTACAGCAGGAGGGACACCTCAGGAATAATTTGGTCAGAGCCCGACTGGGCTGCTTGGCGAAGGAGGCCCAGTAAGCTAAGGGTTCTGCTCCCGCTCCCTTCCCTTATATTTACCCTCCTAGACCCAGCAACAGTCGAGACCCCCAGAAGCCCCGCAGCTGGAAAAGCCTCAGTGTCTGGGCCCCCGGGGGATGCTGAGCCGCATGATGAGGAGGTTCCGCGACAGTCTGAACACCGAAGGAGATGTGGAGTTATCACATTACCTGGCAGGATGGAGAGAGCTAATTAGGTGAGTGGTCTCCCTCCCCTAATCCAGTCCACGCCTCGTATGGCTCCATTGCTCTGTCTCTCTCTCTTGAACCATCCCACTCTTCCCACCACCAACCACACAGGTTCCTGACTCCTCTCGGCTCCATCTTCGCCTTCGCCACAGGCGAGGCCTTCAACAAAGTGACAGCCCTTGAGGCTCGGGTGCACGGCCCAGATGCTGTGCACTACAAGACGCTAGCAGGCATGGTGGAGTGGGAGCGGCGGGCAGGACTGCTGGAGCTGCCGGGGATCGCCCCTCGAAACTACGCCACGTCCTCGGGCTCACGAACGATGCTTTTGCTGCACCGTGCGCTACACTGGTCCCAGCTCTGCCTCCACCGGGTGGCGACCGAGATGCTTGAAGGCCCGGACGCCGGCGAGCAGTGCAACGACGCCTACAGCAAGGCCCTTGCTCCGCACCACTCCTGGCTGGTCCGTCAAGCCGTCCGCCTCGCCTTCCTCTCCTTCCCAGGTCGCGGCCGCTTGCTCAAGCTGGCGTGTCCGGGAACCAGAGAGGCGGAGGCAAGGGCCACGCTTGCCCGGGCCGCGGGCACCCTGGAGAATGTCTACAACCAGACCCAGGGCTTGCTGGCACGGCGCGGCCTGCTCCAGCTGGCCTGAGGCCGGCGGTGGCAGGGATCCGCTAGGAACCGAGCGCACTGGCGTGGGGTCAGGATAGAGCCCTCCGTGCTCGCTTCCGGCGCCAGGGGGCGTGACGCCCGCTCTCCCGCCTCTTTGGTAACATCACTATCCAGGAGGCCCGCCCCTAGCGGGAGGGTTGTTTAGCTCCTCCCTCTACTCGCAGTCTCCGGAAGAAGTCAGGAGCTGTGGAAAGTAAAAAGTATTCTTTGGTAGCCGTAGGTTTAGGGCGTTTTGCGTGACGTCGGCAAGTGCTTAGGAGAAATAAAAATGGATGTGGGAAGATGTGTCATCCCTGTTCCCGGCAGCCAAGAGACTCACGCTTCCCGACTATCTCAACCACTCCTATAGTTTCCGTTGCCAATTACATGCTAAGTCTCTACTTCAGACCTGTCCCCTGAGCTCCAGCCCCCACAAAGCCACTAATTTCCTGGACACCTCCACAGACACCGGAAATTCAACACATCTAACTCGGATCCAATAGCCTCTTCCCAAAACTTCACCTCTTCTTGTGTTCCCTGTCTATGAATATATGGCATTCAAGCCTAAAACCTGTGTGCATCATGTCTCACACCATGCAGGCGATCAGTTCAATAATGCATGTTTATGAAATGACTCCTTGGCCGCTCCCACAATGATAGTGAACATAAGAGAGCTTGGCCATTTCATACACTGATAACTCCCAAGTTATAATTCCAACCCACTTTTCCCTGGACTCCAGAATGTTAACTATACACCTTATTCAACATCTCCACTTGGATTTCAACTAGCCATAGCAAATTTAACATGCCCCAAACGGAGCTTCTAATATTCTCCCCTCCCAAATATTCTATTCATAGTCTACTATCTCAATAAATGACAACTCCATTCTTCCAGGTCCTTAAGCCAAAAACTTGACTCTTCTGTTTCTCTTTCATCATATCCACATCCAATCTGTCAGATTCTGACCATTTCCTACTCTCTCCACTGCTACCATACTCGTCAAGCCAACTTTATCACCTCGATTATTGCAATAGCCTCCTAATTGTCTCTCTGTCCTATACTTAGCCTCCCTATAGTGTATGTTCAATAGAGCAGCCAAAATAATCCTTTAAAATGTATTTCATATGGCACTTCCCTACTTAAAACCTTCAAAAGCCTTCCTATTGCACTCAAATGAAAAAAAATTTTTAATTTAAGTAGGAAATTTTCTGGCTCATGTTTTCAGTTGATAACAATGAAAAGCTTTGTATAGGTCCTATCTGATCTGACTCTTCATGCACCAGCCAAATTGACCTCCTCGATATTCATTGAACATGTCAGATTTGATCCTGCCTCAGGACCTTTCCTTTTGCTCTCTCTCTGTCCAGAATGTTTTTTCCCCAAAAAGACAAATTACTTCTCTCCTTACTTCTTTCTGGTCTTTATTCACTGGTATTCCTCAGTGAGATCTTTCCTGATTATTCTAAAATTTCAACACACACACATGCACAAGCATACATGTACACACACGTCCTATCTCCTTTTTCTTCTTATGATTCCCTCTATAACATACTATATATATGTATTATTTGTTTTGTTTTGTTGTCTCCCCCAATAGATATGAGCTCCATGGGACTAGAAATTTCTATTTTGTTCCCTGAGGGACCTTCAGTGCCTCAAAGAGGGCCTGGTACTGAAGAGAAAATTTCAGGATTTTCATTAAAAGCGAATCAGCTTTTTTGTTCTGCTTCTGTAAATGTCCTTGCTGCATGCAGGAGCTCACTGCAGAGCTCTTTTGTACCTTGTTCTATTTGCCTTTTGCTCAATAAATGAAACTGTACTGTTTGTACCCCTAGCAGGTCCCGCTTTCTGTAACAATTTGTATCTGTCAGCAGCCCATGACAGCTCCCACCCTTACCAATGTTACTGCTTGTAGTCTTCATGGCAGCCCCCTCCATTTGTAATGGTTTGAGTTCAAACTGCCAATTAGCTTGTGTAAAAATTCTGGTATATAGGCAATGTTGCAACTGAGCCCACTGCCCAGATCTTCAGAGCACTAGCTCCTCTGGAACTGCACATGATAAACCTGAGCTCCCCTTTCTCTCCGAGCTACTGCTTGGTGTTTCTTTGGACTGGTTTGGGATTTTTCCACAACAGTACCTAGTAGGCATTCAATAGCTTTTTGCTGAATGAATGTATGAACACTAAAAATAATTCAGATGACTAGAGCCAAGAGTATCAAAAAGAAAAGAAGGAGGTGGCACGATAATGTAAATATACTTAATGCTATTAAATTGTATACCCAAAATGGTTAAAATGCTGAATCTTATGTTATTTATATTTACTACAATACAAATTTAAAAAGTAAAGAGGAGATGTGATTCTGGACAGGTGGGAAGGAACAAGTTCATGAAGGGCCTTATAAACTGTGTTACAGAGATGGAACTTTATCACAAGTATTAATTTTAAGCAGGGGATTGTCTGGATCATAGTTTCAATTCAAAAAAACCAGCTCCACACAGTAACAGGAGTGCTCCACATAATAACAGCAAAATACACATTCTTCTCAAGTGCACATGTTACATTCTCTGGATAGACCATATGTCAGGCCACCAAAAAAGTCTCAATAAATTTAAAAAGACTGAAGCCACAAAATATTCTCCAACTAAAATGTAATGAAATTAGAAATCAATAGCAGGGAAGAATTTGAGAAATTCACAAATATGTGGACATTAAATAACAGTCCTAAACAACCAATGGGTCAAAGGAGAACTCACGGGGAAAATATTTTGAGGTTAGTGAAAATGAAAACAAAACATACCAAAACTTAGGGATGCAGCATAAGTAGTGCTTAGGGGTAAATTTAGCTGTAAATGCCTATATTAAAAAGGAAGAAAGATCTCAAATCAATAGCTTAAACTTCCATCTGAGAAACTAGAAAATCATATAAAACCTAAAGAAAAGTAGAAGGAAGGAAATAATAAAGATCAGAATGTAAATAAATGAAATAGAAAATAGAAAAACAATAGAGAGAATCAACTAAAACAAAAGTTGTTTTTTAAAAAAAAAAATCAAGAAAACTGACATACCTTTAGCCAGCCTAACCAAGAAAAAAAGAGAGAAGACTCAAATTACTAAAATCAAGAATGAAAGAATAACATTACTACTGATCTTACAGGAAAAAAAAAAGGAATTACAAAGGAATACTGTAAACAATTGCAAGTCAACAAATTAGATAACCTGAAACAAATTCCTAGAAAGACATAAACTACCAAAACTGACTCAAGAATACATAAAAAAATCTGACTAGACCTATAACAAAGAGATCAAGTTAGTAATCAAGGAAACGTCCCATAAAGAAAAGCCCAGGACTCAATATTTTCACTGAAGAATTACACTGAATGTTTAAAATTAATGCCAATCCTTCACAAGCACTTACAAAAATAGAAGAGGAAGGAATACTTCTCTACTCGTTTTATGAGGCCAGTATTACCCTAATATCAAAGATTAAAAAATAAATATTGTATGAATAATCTTCAATATATTGTATGAATAATCTTCAATATATTGTATGAATAAATAAATAAATAAACTGCAGACCAATATATTGTATGAATATATTGTATGAATATATTGTATGAATAATCTTCAATATATTGTATGAATAAATAAATAAATAAACTGCAGACCAATATATTGTATGAATATATTGTATGAATATATTGTATGAATAATCTTCAATGAAATACTAGCAAACCACATATAAAAAGTATTATACACCATGGTCAATTGATTTTCTGCAAGAGTGCCAGGACCATTCAAGGGGAAAGAATAGTCTTTTCAACAAATAGTTCTGGAACAAATGGATATATTTATGCAAAAGAATGAATTGGGGCCCTACTTCACATCATATACAAAAATTAACTCAAAATAAATCATAGACTAAAAAATATAAGAATTAAAACTATAAAACTCTAGAAGAAAATATAGATGTAAATCTGTGGCCTTGGATTAGGCAACAGTTTCATAGATATCAAAAGCACAAGCAACCAAAGGAAAAAACAGGACTTCACCAAAGTTTAAAACTTTTGTGCTTCAAAGGACACCAACAAAGAATGTGAAAAGATAATCCATAAAACAGGAGAAAGTATTTGCAAATCATATATCTGATAAAGGTCCAATATCTGAAATATAAAAAAGAACTCTTAAGAACGTAACAATAAAAAGATAACCCAATTTAAAAATGGGCAAAGGACTTCAACAGACATTTCCCCAGAAAAGATACACAAATGGTCAACTAGCATATGAAAAGAGGCTCAACATCACTAATCATTAGGAAATGCAAATTACAAACAAAACTCAAGATATCAATTCACACTCACCAGGATGGCTAAAATAAAAAACGTACAGTAACTATTAGTGAGGATATAGAGAAACTGGAACCTTCATACACTGGTGGGGATGTAAAATGAGGCAGTTGTTGTAGCAAACCTCTATCAGTTCCTCAAAATGTTACACTGTTACTACATAACCCAGCAATTCTACTCCTAGTACCGTATATACTCCTAGGTACATAATATACCTAAGAGAAATAAAGACATACTGTGATCACTGTAAGTCAGAGGCTCAAGTCTGTCTTAAAGTCTGTGAATTGCAACTCCGATCAGATATATCAGTCCTGCGCAATTCGATAGGAAACGTAGCCCTTTATATACTGTTTTGGGGGTATTTTTATTTGCCTGTTTGCCTCTTTGCCGGCCACGCTGCCATACAGCACTCACTGTCGCAAAACAAACTTCCTTGTACATATCTTTTTCCCTTCTGCCGTCAACTGTGTCCTAGCTCGTCCCAAGAAAGCCTCCGAGCACGACTAAAGAGAGTGACAGGGCGCTTTACGACAGTTGCTTTTTGGCAGTGCCAGAGGAGGAAGATGGCGGCCACCTTAGTATCTCCTAGAGGAGCGGAGCCAGTACCGTCCTGGGGGCCAGAGGCCATTACCCCTGACTGGGAAAACCGTGAAGTCTCCACAGGGGTGAGGAAGGACTCGGGCTTCAGGAGATGTGCACAAGGCTTGATGCGATGGAAGGATAAAGCCTGAACG